CACTCTTTCGGACCAGTTCTCTAGACGTTTGTGTGACAGACTGGAGGCACTGAAAGACCCAGACCCCTCAGGTTGAAGCTGCAGTATCTCCACGAGTGGGATAATCCAAAACCCATGATCTTTGTGCTGCTACGAACCAATTGTACTTTTTGTGTACCATGCATTTCCACCCTGTTCCGTTATACACCATTGTACCTTTACCTTTGACTTTACACCTCGTATCCGAATTTCTACTTTTGTTCGCTATCGTGTTACTCATAGGTATCACTCTGTTTAGGGTTAAACTTTTGTGTTGTGGTCTCCATCCTGAAAGTGGACTTATCCTGTGTTGAAAAGTCGAAAGACACTGTATAGCTGAATCATTACCAGTATGCATCTCACAGACTGCTCGATGGGTTCGAACCCCCACAACATTCATAATAGGAATTCCAGCACTACACTTCAGCTTCGGGTGGTTTACCGGCGGCATATAGACGGCACAAAGTGGCGCTCAGTTTTGTTTCTGGAGATCTGACAGTGCTTTTCATCTGGGTCGTCCAGAGTGAATTTTCCTGTCCTAGGAAATCACCTTCTTGGGTTCGGAATCCGTTCTTCTTTGTCTGTTTTGTTCTTGAGTTTGATCCGCTTTTAATCATTTTTATATGTGGATAAGCACTTGGTAGTTGTTGTGCTGTTCTGACGACCTTGTTGATTTGGGTTCACCTTATAACCAATCCAGTGCTGATCGCTGTATTCCTACTTCCTCTCATCGTTTCTGTCAGCCAAGGTAACCATCACATCTCATGTCGTAAAGAGATGTCGTTGACTCACGAGCAACCTTTTTCGATCGTTTTGGTCTCTTTGCCACTCCCCACTAAGTATGTACTAATTCCACATACCCAAGTGTTCATGGCAATTCACTACAGATCTGTTTGGATGAAATGATCTATGTCACTCCTGTCTGAGAGTTGACCTATGCGATGAGCGTCATCCTCCCGTCAGAACTCATATGCATGAGAACACCTGTGGGTGTTTTGTTTTCACTGTCTATTTTATATTAAAAGGTGTCCATATCAGCATACACACCAACCAGTTCATCATCATCATTGTCAGCTGTAATAACCGCGTACTCGTCGTACAGTGGTTTTAGCTGCCACAGTTTCGTTCACCGATGATTTGGGAGGGGGGTAGGTAGGTGCGCATAGCTCCTTTTCCAACCCCCACACTTGACAGCTCACCAACCAGTTATGTTAATCAGTGTAAATCCCTCTGCTTGACCTGTAGTAACGAGTTGTCTCACTTGTTTACCACTGTATTTTTACCAATTTCCAAGTACTTTCGTTGGTTATTACTGGCCATTTGTAACTGCTTGCCAGTCTTCGAACCGTGATGTCAAGCCTATTTGTCTGCTTGAAAGAACACTGAATTTGTAACGTTATCCTGATGAAATGAAAAGAAGTGGGGTAAGCGTTGTGCTGAGGAATACTTACAAAAAAGGTGTCACTCTTTAGGGCTGGGTAAACTGATTCCGGAGTTTCTTAAGACATAGGCATTTGGAGTCTGCAGGATGAAGCGATCGGAGTCACCCAGATATATTTTTGACGAATATATGGGATTGGTTAACGGGGTTATTCTATCTGTCAAAAAAGCCACGTCGCCACTGTCAGAAACAACCCAGGGGGTCGTTCTTAAGTCGCACACGGGATACTGTCCATCTGCGTGTCCGTTCACCATCCATTCAATGGACGTGTGGGTGGAAGTCTTGGCGTGTTAAAACAGAGCGGGATTGTTTAACCGCATTATCAGGAAGGTGAGATTCCTGAAAGCAACCTCAGAACGCCCGGAACCTACTGCTCCACCAAAAACTCAACAGGAAAACCGGCAAGCATCCAGGCCAGTCAATCATTCAATCAATTCAGCAAAACCTGATGAGTGTTCTTGCACGCCACAGAAGCACGACCGAATGTGACCAACGTCCAGGCTTTCCATAGAGGCACGATCGATGTTGCTGGGTGTTCATTAACGCTTATCAAACAGCCTGGATCAATGTCAGAAAGTCCCCTTTAAATAGCGTGGGGCCGTTGTAGCTTTTGCTTCCCGCACTCCACGCACTCACGCTCTCGCACTTATTTGTTCAGAGTATAACGGTTCTGTTCCCTTCTGTGAGTCTTTTTTCTCCGGCATTAGGCGCTGGAGCGGGTCAGCACCAAATACCACAGACTGACGAATCAGCAGATATAATACACATTCGTTGCTATCAGACTTGACTTCTGTTGCGTAGTCTCCTGTTGCCAGTAGCAGACCTGGATGAGACCGTCCCGATCGTGTTTTGTTCCGGAGGGTGGGAACCGAACAAGTTTGCTTGCAAGTCATCAACAATTGGGGCTTGGTCTTAGGTCGTGTTAAAAAAGAATTGGATGAATGCCAACCCAACTTGTGGAATAAACAAAGTCTTCACATTTTGTTTTCAAAATCAGCTGTCAGTGGAGTGAAAATGTCCCCCCCCCCCACAAGTCTCGAAGCGGACTTATAAACCAGGAGAGTGGAGAATTTCTGATTGACCAACAGCCTAGATTCTATCTGCTAAGATGGCACCTCGGGGAAGGGGATACCGTTCGTTTTTGGAGGGATCGCACTTGTCTGGCGGATATTGGTGTGATGACTTCCGTTCGGAGGGATGTCTTTTGAAGAGTGACTTGCCGTTGGAATGTTGCACAAAATGGAAGGCAAGTGGCAATTCGAGAAGTGTGAGAACCACATAAATAGATGTTTCTTCGTTTCACAGCACAAATCGAGTTGATGCGCTCTTTCGTCACAACAAGGATATTCTACGGGAAGTTTGAAATCACGTGGCTTAGATGAGTGTGGACGTTGACTGGTAGTCCCCTGACTAGTATTTAAATGTCGAATATCGTAAGTCTTCTGTCCAATCTGTCCTGTCGATTGTCACTTGAAGGGTTTGGAATCTGGCGGGTGGCGTCGGCAAATCGTAATTTAGAAAAACTGCCCATCATGCCCCCGGCCTCCTCTACTGTTCAGTCGACCTTAATATCTCTCGAACGGAGTTGTAACCATATATCGATGGATCATATGTGCAGCAGGTATCCCATACAAAAAACAGACTGATCAGCAATCGTGCAAAGACAGGACTTTCGCAACTATTTTTGTGGCTGTGCAGGACTACAAATGCATTGCTGCATTATGCAAATGAATACCATATATGGACCATAAGATTATGGGGACATTCTTCGCCACCCAGCACGTGGTGATGTGATTGTCCGTCCCAGAGCACTGCCTGCTGTAGACAGCGTTTCAACTCAGTGATGGTTGGCTCAGGGAAATAAGTAAGTATCTTATTCGAATGCGGAAGGAGGGTAAATATATGCTGGGTTGTTGATCTCAAACAATTTGGACATGACGGGACAAGTCATCAATCACTGTAGAGAGATCTTGTGGTTAGTTTTAACTCAGGGTTCCTTGTTCAAGTAGACATGGATCCTGTCTAATGGTGGGACTCCAATTTTTATTTGTGTATCGACCGAGTTTGTTGATTATTCAGCGAGTATTGTATCACCCGCAGACAATAAGTTATAGATAATCGTTCAGTAGTAGCGCACTTTCGGTGCATGGCTGCGATGCCACCCAAAAGATGCACGGGGGCTGAGATACTGCCAGGTTGTCCAAGCCCAGACAAGGGAAGTCGACTTACAGACGTCGGGTTCGAAGCACGGACCTTCCGGTCTGTAACCACTGAGGCATCTCGCCTCGCAGCGGAGCTCAAGCGGTTCTTTTGGGAAACTAATTAGTGCCTCATTTACAGGACAGTTTCAATGTTTCTGCGATCCTCAGGCTGCAAAATTGATGCGTTTTGTCTGCTGATATCCACTAGGTGAACAAATAAAGGAATACTGTATTCATGGGGTCTGATAACTAGCTGAAAAGGCGGTCTAGCCCTCCCTTGCTGATTAACCGAAGGGATTTGGTGAGAAAAACTGTAGTTACATTCTTGCAGATGAGAAACAAAAGCGGGTTGAATCACATAAGGAAAACACTCCCGCGGGTGAGATGACACCCTGAACTACCCTCGGAGACTACTGAATTGAGTAGCAGCGAGCTCCTGTGCACCAGCGACAGCATCATGAGAAGGAGCGAAATGCGGAGAGTATTAGCCTGTCTTGTTTGACCTCTGCTTTGCGTTCATCACTGTCTAAATCACTTGTTTTGTCGCAATTGTGCTAAGACAGTTCCTTCTTCACGTTCATATACTGGCCCGTCTCAACATCCATTGGTGAAAAAAGAATATAAACCCATGAGCTCGAGGTAGCTTACTGGTCAAGGCGAGGACTTACTGACAAGAAGGTTCGTGGTTCGAACCCGAACTCCGTATGTCTACTGTCCTTGTCTAGGATTGCGCAACCTGGCAGTATCTCAGCCGTCGTGCTTCCTTCCGCATGGAAAGGGTGTTGCAGCTAGACGATTAACGTTACTTTCGTTACATTACTTCCCAGGGAGGGGGCGAATTTCGCCACCAGCACTTGCTTGTTACACACCAGAAGTGAGGCACTGTGGATATCCAATAGAAAAACGCTTTCGGCCTTGTGAATTTCTATTCGGTCATCTGGTCTTTGCTCAAAGTCACGTTTCTTCACCCAACCCTTTGACTCTCCTCATGTGTGCTTCATTAAATAGCCCTTTTCCGAGAAATTGGGATTTCTGTTTTATTCACTGAATTTCTTTTCTTCTTGGATACCTCAACCGAGGTACCCCAAAGAAAAATGAAGAGCGCCCGTTTATTTGATCATTCAGTGTCGCCGGGTAAACAGGTTGCTTGAATCCAACACTTTTGAACGCATGCTTTACGTATGTGTAATCTGATATGTTAAACACGACAGCTGTGATTCTCCGTGGCCCTGTCGGATTAACCTCGTGCAGTTCACCGAATACTATCGTCGGATCAACCAGATAATTTGTACTCATCTGTACATAACCCTAACTAGTTTCGACAACCCTGTTTGCCAATCAAGAAAGTGCTTGTCCAGAAACGGGCTCAAGTAAGGTTCTTGTTGCCCGGCCTATACGGTGAGCAGGTAGACCGGCTTGCAGAAACAGCTGAGCAATTTATTTACAGTCACATCACTTGCTTGGACAATTCTCCAGTTCTGCGGCAATCACTCAGGAGAGACCATATCAAAGCATTGGATTCGAGCTTCACTTTTAGTGAGGCCCTGACTCGAGTGAAGTGCCTCTTTAGGATACTCGTAGTATTGATTGAAAACCTCCAGATGATCAACTTTCGATAATTCGCGAACAAATACCCGCCAAAATATCATTGCCTTTTTAGGCAAACGATGCGGGAAGCTGATGGATGAATGGTTCGGCTGTTGGGACAGGCGGTTTTTGGAAATATAATTGTCTCGACACTAAAAAGCCAGCTTACTGGAGCCCCTATATATTTTCATGTCTAGCCATAGTGAGTTTCCTTTATAGGACCTGGTCAAAGCATTTTGTTTTACAAGGTTTCTGGGCCAAAGTTGCATCCCAGCCGTGCCACTTTTGAATTAATAAGAACAATGGGTGTTCAGAGTTTGTCGACTTATACATGGGTGTAGCCGGACGCCATCTCATTTCGTTTTGCGGGAGGCTTATCATTGGCGGGAGCAATGTGGACCGGTATATCACCCACACTTGGCATTCAAGGTCACATTGTGCCCCACAAACTTTGGTCCGGACCCGAAGGTACACCGTTTTGTGTTTCGCAGATACTTTCCAAACAGCGGGGGAGACACGGATGCACATTGTCCGTAGCACTTGAAGAGAAAACCAGTTGTATAACCTGGAACGTATCGGGGCCGATTGGATGGTCATAGTTTCAGAGAGGTTTGGTAAACAATCGATGTGTCGAAAGCACAAACATTCGGTGGCCTTGCGCATGAGACACGCTGGAACATCAGCAAGATGTCTACCAATTGCTTGTCATCGGAGCCTGGACCGGAAGATTAGTTTTTTAGTAACGGTTGTCTTGAGGCAACTGAGAACTGAACGAAAGTTAATTTTGTACTGGAAAGGAATTAGTGGTAGGCGTTAAGCACTGAGGAAACAATCGGTTGTCTTGTTAACTTATCTTGCCTTAGGGTTCCCGTGAAACCAGTAAATCATGCAGCTGGCCGTTTTACATGTTCCCACATGTTTATTCTTTCGGAACTACTGACAAACTAAATCGACCTATATGCACAAAAGATCATGGTGTAACGGTGGTACTACTGCTGGGGAGGCACGCCAGTAGTATGTTTTGTTCTCGTGAATTCGCTTTGCGTCTCTTGAAAAGGGAGATCTGTGGCGAAATTTGTGGGCTCGCTTTGCAGCATTTGCTTGGATTTGAGCAATGAATGATTGGAGTCAATGAATATCCAGGAAAGTTCAAGAAGACGCGTTCAAGAGAGGACGGGTGTCCAGTTTTTGTAAATAAGATGCAAATGAGAGTTTTGCTTCCCTGTCCAATGGTCTGTAACTGGTCAGTTGGCATTCTCTAATAAATAACTCTGCAGCGAAGGCCTTCTTCCTTTCAGTGGTATAGCCGAATGAAGTAGGAGGTCTAGGTTAATAATGTGTGATTCTGGCAGCTAGTGTGGTTGACTCCAAGCAGGCATCGATAGGTTTCATGAATACACACACAACACTTCAGAGATCTGCTAGGGACCCTTCTTTTATGCGTAATTTTATCCAAAAATATCACAAGTCCCTTAAACTTCATCCAGTTTAGTCTGCAAGAGTCAAGATGTGGCATTTCAGCTTGTCTTGGTGTATCTGGACCAGTACGATCTGGTACAACAATAGATGAAACGCTTTGGGCGGGTGCTTCCAAGATGCAATCGCGATGAGGCTGTTTCATCTTGGAATGGACACGGAAACGAACCACAGTCTTTATCTTCTGTACTCTTTTAAGAAACATTCAACTTAATGTGGGTATTTTACTAAGCGTAAGCAGATAGGCTATTTTTGTATAGCTTTTATGGAAGTATCCGAACCTGTTTACATTTCGTGATCCGTTGTTATTCCCCATAGTTTTGTATGGCTTACGTGTCGAACGGGTAATGCTGTGGCACGCTTTGTTGTCCCGATTCCCTTTTCGTGGGGTACATTCATCTGCGGCGTCGAACTGTGTGCAAATGTACACTTCTTTCGGTTCATTCCAGTACAACGCCACACTTACGTCAACCGGTGGTC